AACTGTCCGAGCAGTTGCCCAGAGCCAGATTGTCTTGGGGTGTTAAGCCTCGCGGCTTTCAGGCTTGCTGGCAGTGGAGCGGGTGCCACAACCGCCCAGACTTGGACGACTGGAGCCCTTGAAACCACATAGCTGGACCAAATTGGCAGGTGGGGCTGTGTGCCAAAGGTGTTCTCATCCCGCAGGTACCTCTACAATATTATAATATACATGGTGGCCTTACAGGACTCCAGATGAAGTTGTAATTTATAGTGTTACGATGTTTCATAGAAGTACTTGCAACACGTAAAACCTTTAACATCAGTTTTTTTCGTCATGCTATGTCATGCTTCAGCTTTGCAGTTCGCGTCGTCAAATGCCTGGTCTCTACATTGGAGTGTTGACGGTTGGCTCCCCTGATTCTTCCAAGCCACCCTCCACCCTGTCGTTGTGTGACCAGGAGAGAAGCTGACCTCCAACACAGATGCTTGGCACGAGTTGGGGCTTGCAGGATCTAAGCTTCCCCAAATGATGAGTGCACCTTCCTATATAATTCCAGAGGATTTGTCGGTGAATCAGTGAATCTGATACAGATCACGACTAATCATCACCGCACTGAGGCGACCAGTAAAGAGATGCGGGAGGATTCTCCAGCAGAGGAAGTGACATCAAGCACTGCGAGATGGTTGTCAGGCCAGGTTGGGAGTCCTGTGTGCCCGCATACAGCGAGGCACACAGGTTGGACATCACGTGATGAACTGGAAAAAAATATTGTGGCAGAAAGCTAGGGGAACGCCTTGAGGTTCCGAGCTACACATAGCCTTGGTAGGAGGACTCCATGACTCTCTGGAACACCTTCCTTTTTCCGAACGTCGTTCTGGGCATCTCTTGGGGTTTCACATACGGCGGCAGCATATGGTCATACGTGTCACATGTTTCTCAGGCAGTTAAGCTTTCGAAGCTAAAACATCCGGAATTCCCTGAAAGGCTGCACACCATCACCAAGCTTCTGGCTTAATGGGAGCATGGCTTCAGAGGCTTCTTCGAGCCCAGGAAGATCAGGTGCACAACAGGAAAGCCCTGCTCAGACTCCAGTCGCTGCGCAACAGATCGCCGCACCTCCCGCTGCCCCTGCACCTGCAGAACTCCCAGCAGCAACGCCCGAAGTGAAGCCGCCGACGTCGGTTGAGGTGAAGCCCCCGACGTCGGCTGAAGTGACGCCGCCCGCTCCGGCGTCGGCGGCTCCTTTGCTTGAGGAGCCGAAGGAGCCGACGGAGCCGACGGAGTCTACTGAACCTTCCCTGCCACATGTTCCTGCCAGCGAGACAGGGAACTTCCCATCAGAGGCATCCTCGGGAAGTGGTTTGGCTGGTGCTGATGGTGCAGGCCCGCACTTGGCAAGCTTGAGCTTGAGAGTTTTGGTGTACTTTAGCAAGAACAAACTGGTGAAGATATGAATATGAATTGTATTATACTATATATATATATAATACATGTGATTGTTTTCAGTTCTTTGCATGTCTTTATGTTCTCGATTTGCATTCGCCACCCCACTTGACAGGAAACCCTCCACGCCGCATCCCCAGACTGCAGAAGCTCGCCAGCTCGCACGGCGCGGGGAAGGGATTGGGTGGAAGGAGGGATGCTGTGGCACGTGTGTGTGGCACGTAAAAGGCGTGCCAAGATATCTGTGAAGGGAAGCTGCTTAGCTTCAGGGTGATACGCGTAGCTAACACGGTAGGTGACTGTTTGACCCCTTGCCTTCTTGCTTGGTAGGTGTGGCCATGAGGGCAGCTGCCATCCGAAACATGCAGTTGGCAGTGAAAGAGGCGAAGGACAGCAAAGAAGCAAAGGAGGAGACTCAAGAGGAGAAGCCTAATGTCCCTGGGCTTTGGAGCTCATGATTTGTGTGATTTGGGTGCAATGGATTTTGCAAGGTAGGCGAGCTCAGCAATGCAAAGCATTGCATAGATGTTTTTTGGGTGTGATTTGCTCGTCCAAAATGCCGCTCACAATGCTGGGTCACGGTGCCCAGGTGGATTTCAATTGCCCAGAGGCAATGATCGTAGTGGAGAGCAGGGCCTCGTTGAGCTCCAACTTTTCAGGCAGCTCTACATGTTGTTGCTTCGTTTTTCGTTGTCAGGTGGTGGTTCTACATGGTAACCTGACATGGTTTGTACTGCCCTCCCTACTAACATTCCCTGAAGTAACGTAGCAACTTAATGCAAGCATATTTTCACATGGCAATGCCAACGGCCCGTTTTGTTCCGTTGTCTCGGAACATGCCAACTTTTCCAAAGGGCTATTGCTCGGAACAAGCACCAGGTCACCAGGCTCTAACTCCAGGTTTGCTCATGCTGCTTTTCCCCTGACAGATGCTGGACGGCGGACCTCGATGATGAGTGACCAAGCAGCGGACGAGGGGGACGGAGCAGCGAGCAGTTCTCCAGGCGCATCCGGGGAGACCCAGGTTGATGAGGATGGTGATGGACATGTCACTTGGCTGGGTGAGCTTTCTCTTTGGTCCATTACTGAAAGACGCAGCACGAAGTGTGAAGGTTTGGATTGACGAAGTCCAAGGTGGCAGAAAACAGACAGGGCCGCCGTGCACTGGTCGAGTCCAAGTCTTTGGCTGCATTGCCTCCAAGTGCCTTCGCAGACCGAAGCGAGTGCTAAACCCTCCTTGTTTGATACATTATTTAAAGGCTGAATGGGGTGAAAAGAAGCAATATGTATGCAATTCCGCAGGTATGTAATGCAATGTAATGTAGTGTAGTGTAGTGTAATGTAATGTAATGTAAGTATGTATGTATGTCTGTATGTTTGTAAGTCTGTAAGTATGTATGTAATGTAATGTAATGTAACGTAATGCAATGCAATGCAATGCAATGCAATGTAATATATGTATGTATGTATGTATGTATGTATGTATGTATATCACACAAACTGTATAGTTGTTTAAATTACTGTATATCATTTTTGTGCAATACAATCATTTCCGCTCTGAGGTGTTCTCAAAGTGGCGGAGGACAATGGAATCTCCCAGAAACACATGAGGAAGTCCGCATTCCTTGCGTCTGAGATGCTTGCCTTCATTTTGACGGAGCAAGGTCACCATTGCACAGCACAAGGGGCTTCGCATGGTTTAGCACTGCTTATCCTCATCCATCGGTCACCCGCGGCCCTCAGCATTTCCCACACCAAGCCACAGCAGATCTGGTGAGGTTGACACTTCCAGTTCCTCCAGTTGCCATAAATCATCATAAATCAATCAGCTGAGGGGTTTTGAGCTAAGGAGCAGAAAGAGATTAACAGACAGCCAAACAATTTGGCAGCGAATCGTCACCTCTTCAACGTGCACTCCTCAGCTTGCGAGCTTTCCTTGGTCTCTGGGCCTTTCCTTTGCTAACGTAGGAATCTGGAGTGCCCAAATGTACTGAATGGGAGAACCGGACGGTACTGGTACCAGCATGGCCAACCCTTTCGTGCCAGGTACGAAAGCCTCAGTGGGGCTTTTATTCTGCTGAACTGCGGCTTTGTGGCCTGGCAGACCCAGGCCAAAGCGGTAGCCACTTGGTGGAGCTGAACGACAATGGTGACTCATGACATGCTGTGAGCAATCCCTGCTCTGTCGGCGTGGCTAGAAGAATGAAGCCGCGCCGAAAACGAGGTGGAGAAGTGTCCAACAGTACACACAACACAGCCGTAGAATCATTTGTGTGGATACGCTTGGATGCATATCTGAGCCTATCGATCTACACCATTATAGTTGTTGAGCATTCTGCCAGTTCGCCACCAAAACCAGCTTCCCCAGCCAATTCAACTCTTGCCGCAAAACATGATGCAGCCTGCAAAGGACGATGAATGGCGGGCGGAGACCTACCAAGAGCTGTGCCCTTGATGAAGTGAGAACTGCACTGATGGGGGCCAAGTCAAACAAACTGTGGCAATAAGCGTAGCATAAACATGACAGATGTGGAGACCTTCAAGATAGGCATCATGTTTCGAGGACCATGGCCGAGCCCGTGCTGTTCAATGTCATTCAGGGCGTCTTTACAATCGTTTTTGCTGTAGCTACTTGGCCCAACTCGCGAGAGGTGAAGGTCGCGGAGGGCCAAACATGATGCGACGAGAAACTGTGAGCCGTGTGATTGGCGCGTTGTGTTTCTGAAGCTTTTGCAGTAGAGGTAGAGGCAATTACCGGATGCAAACGGGCAAAGGATGCGGACTAGAATCCTAGGGGCGAATGACAAGCAAGGGCACGTTGTTGCAAGTGTTGCAATCTGAATCAAGGAAGGATAGATCAAGCGCTGCCGAGGATCTTGTCTTCCGAATCCTGGCAGACAGATCGTTCTTTGTCCACTACAAGAACAAGGAGTTCTTGTGGAACGTGTGGCTTGGCACCATTCATTCTGACGTTCCTATCTCTCCGTCACAGTGCTAATACTTGGCTAATCGATTGCCTTTCTTGTGCTAAAGAACCGATGGGAACTCTTTGAGAAAAGAACACCAAAAGGAACGAAAGAGGTGACCGGACCCACTGGTCCTTGTATGGGTCTTTCTGGTCTCAAAGGGGCATCACACCAGACACACAAAGACCACAAAGACACGTCCTATCAGCCAAAAGACACACTACAAACACGTCCCACCAGCCACAGAGACTCCAAGCGATATCCCACGCAGCCGCTGTTGTGAGAAGGCTTCATTCCGGTCACTTCGTCCTTCGTCCGACGGCTCGTTCGTGTGACAGGATGGACTCGTTCGTGGTCACCTTTGATTTGGTTCCTTGGCATTGATGGTTCCGGACTTGGACAAGATGTGTGATGGGACCACCACTGGGATTGAGACCCATCCCACGAAGCACAAGGCCAGTGGTGTATGCAAACTGATCGCGACCCTTGTTACTCTCTGACTGTTTTGCACGTTCAGTCAGTGTGCGTTGCAGTGCGCATGCGTTGAATCATGTTGGATCCAAGGTCAGCATCTTTTTGGAAGTTTGGGTCCAATTTGGCCTTTTGCGCATGATGCGAGTACTTCGAATTGTGAGGGTCGTCAAGATCATCCGGGCAGCTCGCCGAAACAGCCTTTCACAGTTGTACACAGCGTAAGACTACTCCTGACGGTGAAGTGATTAGTAAACTGACGTGCGACGCGTTTGGCTATTTGTACATGGCCTCATGACCTCCAGCCTGTTCCAAGCAGAGCGCTGCAGGTCATGAAGAGTTTCGCAGAACTGCGGATGCTGATGTACAGCATTGTGAGCTGTATCAAGTCCTTGGTTTGGGTCATCGCTGTCTTGGTTCTCAACATGGGCCTCTTTGCGGTGCTGTTTACCTCAGCCACAGGCAACTCAGCCGTCAGGGTGGTGGCGGCCGTGGTATATGTTTGGGGGTCTCAGGTGGTGCGCATCATGAGGATTTTGGGACACATCCCCAGCAAAATGTGCACTGACCATGGCGCATGGATGCGCATGGGACCGACGCAGATGAGCTGGTGAAACCCTGAGGATCTGAACTCGACACCGGTGAGAAGCGACGCGATCCAAAATTTGAGAAGCTAGTGATGCTCGGCACTGTAAGGTGGTTTTTTTTGTGCACTGTAAGGTGGAGCATCACAACTCCAAACTCCGCTCGACAGGATTCGCCAGGTCAGAGTTTGTGAGGATTCTGTGGAATAAGTTGTCAAAAGGATTATCAATTGAAGTTGTACTCTTGGATTTGAATTTGAAGTTGATTGAAGTTGTACTCTCGGACAGCCTGGCGGGATCACCCAGGTCGACATTTGGCACTTTGGACCGTTCAATCATACACCTTTACATGGCCATGACGGGAGGCACCGATTGGATAGAGCAGTACAAGGCTGGAGTTGGGAGCATGTGGAAAGCCTGGAAAGCTTAGAGACTCAGACCTGCTGGGTTAAGGAAGGATGGAAGGATGGAACTTGAATTGCCTTGCTGCCAGGGTTTTCGCTCGCCGTACCAAATGCAAGGTGTCGGGCCAACTTGCAAGTCCACTGATGTTTCTAGGATTTTGGTATTTGGGTCTCGGTGTGGGGCTGTGGAGGAGCTCACAATAGCCCGACAGTGGCACACATATAAAACTGCAGCATTGCAGCACGGTTTTCAGCTTCTGCTGCCGCAGAGTGAGTAATGGCAGATTGATGGCAGGCTGTTTGGCAACTGCCCGTCATTTACCACGGCCTGTTCCTGATTTATATCACCTTTGGCATCTTTGGCACCATTTGGGTCTTCTGGACATCACTGTTCCGCACCACTAAGTGGAGGGCTTGTGCTTCAAGGCTCTTTACTCAAATAGGTTCCATGACCTTCCCAAAAAATTGACGACGCCATGGGAAATGACAGAGACCAGGATCGAAGAGCATGGACAGGCACGTGACACGTCGCTCAGGGGCTCGGCTTGGACTCAAGAACAAAGTAAAGATACAGACAAAGAAGGATTGTAACAAAGGTAAGCCAAGGATGGGGAACCACCACACTTCGGCATACCTTTCTTGTTGGTGCACCATTATATCTTACCTGGCTCAGGTATTTATGCGTTGGCCAACGTCATCACGAGCATTTTCCTTGAGAACGCCCGGAAGAGTAGCAAGTCAGACCGAGAGCATGTTATCCAAGAGGAGATGCAAAGCAAAACGCAATACCTCCGGGACATAGAGATGATATTTGCCGCCTCTTGACAAGATTGATGACGGAATGGTGACAGGCTCTGACATTCATGCAGGCGACAACACAAGAGACAATATTCATTTTGCTGTTTTGAATTTGGTTTTGGTGTATAGTTTCGTTTGCAGTGCCAATCTTGGTGTACGGCGGCTGACTGGAAATTTGGATTGTGCTGGTCATAATTTGGGTATTGTCTTGGCCTTCTCCCAGGAAATGGATGCAGATGGCAATGGCCTAATTAGCCGGCAGGAGTTTCATGAAACCCTGAAAGATGAACGAGTGACTCGGAGGAAAGCTAAGTCCACAATGATCCAATGATAGATGAACAATATTCACAACTGCTTGGTAATGTCCCGAAACTTTCCATGTTTGCACTTGTCTTGGGTTTAGGTTTAGGGTGTTGTTTAGAGTTGATTCGCGATAGATATAGGGAAACTCTTGAATGACACTCCCATCCTCTGTTTGGAATCCTATTTTGGACCATCCCTTGGCTTTCTTTCGTAGCAAGGTGGTGGCTTACTTCCGATCAATGAAGCTAGACGCTCGAATCTTGGATCGATCTATGAGCCCATCCACAAATGAACAAAATAAAATGAGCAAACCATGATCCCGGATCCCGTTTTGTTTTGTTTATTTGGATTTGGAGTGATTTCGATGAACAAAAACGACGGCCGATTTCGGTGAAGCACCCGGAAGGAGCCACGCTGCAAACACAACCTCTGAGAATCAGCTGCTTGGATCTGAGGAGAAGCTGAACACTTGTTCAACCTTTTGGACTATGATGGCTCAGGCAGGTTTAGGACACCGCAACTGGAGAGGAGGAGTGAAAGGAAAGAGAGAGAGAGAGAGAGAGAGAGCGAGTTGATAAGGACATGAGAGGCCAATATACAGTCGTTATAGGTGACCTCTACGTGGATTGAACAACTATTTTAGAGCAACTCCACAAACTTAGATTCTGATGCTGTCTTGAACAATTGATAAACAATGATAAACATAGCTTTCACTTGCATCAAATACTAGTCAGACTAGTCGTCACATTTATTGTGGTCAATTTTTCTGACGCTCCAACACCTTTTTGAGCAGGTGAGGTGAGCTATCCGGAATTTGTGGACGGTTGTTGGAAGCTACAGGGCGAGGCATGCGAGGGAGAGATTGAGTGAGAGAGAGGAAGCGAGATAGTAGGAGGGTGAGGCAGAGTGATAGAGATCTAGAGTGGTAGGTCGCTTGGGCAAGTGCTGATACAAAGAGAACAGATAGCGAGGCACACAAGATATTGTTCTTTGCCCAAACGAGGAGTGGGATTGGTCACTGGGAGTCACCACCCTCCAGACTGGACATTTGTAGAAGGTTTGGACTCTGGACAGGAAATTCGTTTGGGAACCTGTCCACTTTCCACTCACCTCTACTGACCACCATAGCTATAGTCATAGTCATAGTTGCACGAGGGAGAGGGGGATCCACAAATTTTTTAAGATCTGAATACTGAATGGCCTAACAAACATTACACCGCTGCATTTGCCCAGCCACGCTGCGGAGCATGTCGACTGTAAGGACTTGACCACTTGACCACGTAGAACCCCCAAATCATGGACACTGGTTGACATCCCCACTCTTGTCCATGTTCAGTCCCAGAGTGGCGAGTGGCGGGTGGACTTGCCCACAAAGCTATTAGTTGCTTTGTGTTGCCAGGCCCGAAGCCTGGATGTGAAGATCATACAATTGGCACCCTGTCTGGAAGATTGGAAGATGTGATGCGTCCTGATTAATCCTTAGTAACATGTTGGTATCTACACTGAATCAGTCTTGCTTCCCCGAGCAATTCAGATTGTTCGGGGAATAGACTTTGAAGACTTGTCCTTGTGAATAAGCGTTCAACTCACCGCTGTAAGGAAGTCACCGCCTTAAGCAAAGCCTTGAAAAGTGCCGGAGACTCAGCAACTGCGCCACAAGCCGAGCCCTCCCAACAAGTATACGTGAAGATCCAACTCCCAGGAAAGCGCAATGTTGATCTATGTTGTATTTTGTTGCTTCACCAGGTTTCAGGAATTTCAGTTTCTATTCCTGAGACAATTGTTTTTGGAACCCCCAGGTCCAGGACCAGATGGCGGGGAAGGCGCCAGATGCGGCCAAGTTGCCAAGCAACGATCGACCCAACCGGCGCGTCTCAATTCGTTCCACCCTGGATTGAGGGGGAACCCTAGAATGTGCCATAAGCCAACCACGCCAAGAAACTGAGACGATTGACGTAGCTCCTTTATACCTTTATACTGTATACTCGGTGGGACAGTTCTTCCAGTGGCTGTGCGTGTGGCGGGCACGCTGGGAATGACTACATAATGTTTGATGACTTCCTGACTGAGCTCCAAAGGAGCTTGTCAACGGTCGTTTTTTGACGCGGTTTTGCCAGTCTTGAAAAGTATGTGCCTAGATGCTAGCTGAGTTTGCGAAACGAGTGTCTCGCTAATTCCAGCAGCAGATTGGCTTGCTATCAACGGGACAAGGCTTAGCCAAAGCAGTGGAGTGGGTTGCTGTTTGAGGGCATTTCTCCAAAGTGATTGGCAAGCGGAGGAGAGACTGCAAGCTGAGCAGTGTGGCGGCCCAGAGTGCTAAAGGTCTAAGTGCACCAAGTCACTAAGCACTAAGCACTCACCAGGCATGGAAAGATGGGAAGCCGCAGTGTCCGTCCCTACCAGGAAGCCGCGGCCGAAGACTCAGGCTGGCTGAAAGCGCTGTGGCGGACTCACCTGAGCCAGGACCAGAGGCTTGGTGTTGACCCGCTTGAGTGCTGACACATTACAGTATATCACATGATCTACAGATCAATTGTGAGCCCTCCGCCACCAACACAAAAGTTGCATAAAGTTGACGCTACTACTGCGCTGGTTCTGGTATCTATATATATAATAACTTGGGGTTGCTTGTGTCAAGCATGAAGTTGGCAGCTCTAAGTTCTCATGGGTGTCCGCAAACACCTCGCCCCAAGTACCTCAGAATTCAAATTTAATTTTCTCAATTTTAAAGGGGCAAGGTCGTCTAGTTTTTCCAACTTTAATGCTTCAAGCTTTGGAGAGAAGCTTCTTAGTTGACCCTGCTCCTCACGTCCAGGCATGTGCAAAGAGGAATGAGGGTGCAGCAGCTGCCAGTCCAAATGCCAAAAGCGAGGCCAGTTGCAGCTCCCATTGCTCCCATGTCACATCCATGATTTGTAAAGCATGGTGTTTCGATGATTTTGGATCCCTTGTTGGACACCATGTCCGATCATTTCTGTTCATCTCCAGCATGGGTCCTACATCATACGGTGGATCCCGCAGAGGCATCAGAGTGGCCGAGCACGCCAAACACTGCGCAGTACTCAAGGTGAGCGGCCCAGCACGTTACGCCGAGTCAGCACGTCACCGGTTGCCGGAGCTGCCGCTGGCTTCCGATCAACTGCTGCCTACTAAGGCAAGAGAAGCTCGAACGACGCCGGAAGCCCAAGCATAGAATTGATGAGTTTAGCTTCACATGTGCAAGGTAAGATGTGCCAAGTGAGAGAGAGAGAGAGTCTCAGGGCCGCTCTTGATTCGTCACTTGATCCAAGGCCTTGAGTGGAGGGAAAGATATCGGGAGAGGCATCGCAGGAATTGTACATACTTGATGATACTTGCTCAGTTTCAGGTGCATCACACTCATTTCATCAAGAATGTGCAGAGGGAATGTACAAGGTGTTTTCTAGATGAATTGGACTTTCTTCCGAATTGCTCTGATCATCAGAGATCGGTCAGGTTGGAAAATGCGGAAGAGTTGGTCCCCAGAATATCCTTTTGCCTGGCAAAACAGGACCTCGAAATGCCGCGACCTGAGACGCACCAAACCTCAGCGTGCTTCGCAAGCGAGGGGCAGCGGGGGGGTCGGTGTGTGGCCACCGCCAGAAAAGTGCCTCGCAATGAGCACGTGGGGCATGGGCATGGTCGCTGTGGATACTAATGTGGAGAATGTGAGTGGCCATCAGGATGTCATTAAGATTGATGAGGAATGATAGCACCCTTTGGGCAAGTCGGATCTTATCCTTGTCCTGATCCTTATCCTCTTTCACCATTGGCCTGACCACGATCATTGCCAAAGATAGACGTTGATGACATTGCTGTATAACTCTACAGTCGCTGGCCAGCATTTTTCAGAGCGCAGTGTTCCATAAACAACGCCCCTGACCTCTCAGCAAGCTGCCAGAATATGGGACAGGGCTGCAGCCCTTATGTCCCTTCAACATCTCTTTTTCTCTCACTCTGTCACCATATCCCCCTCATTTGCCACAGATTTCGGCAAGGACGCTTGCCCGCCTTTTGCCATTTCAGGTTTGAGTGACTGCGGGCGAGGTCTTCGCCCAACGGACGTCGATGCGCCATGAGTCGCGGGGATGGGGGACTCTATGCGTGCCCGAAGCGGCAGATCCCAGGGCGAATGCAAGATTCGCTGATGGAGGGTTCATAGCATCGCCGTTCCATGAAGACGTGTCCACAGACAAAGGCAACATAATGCATATGCTTCTATTGACGATGTAATGTTTGATCAACGGAAGGACAAGCCACTGAGACATGCGCAATCATTGAGACATGCACAATCATTCACCGTTGTGATGCCTGCCATTTTGGCATCATTCTGCATGAATGAGTGTTTTTGTTGCTTCTTCTGGTTGCTGAAGCTGCTCATGCGAGCTTCCAAGCGGGTGCTTTACTTGGCACAATGTGGGGGAAAAAGAGCGGTGCTTAGAGTCCGAGGCATGGAACGCAGCATACAGGAAGGTAGTCAGACATGATACGCACACTCTTTGGAAGGAGAAAGCTATGGTGACGCAACACCAGGTGCACGCGTGAGCTTCGTGGCTTCAGACTTTAGACTCACCTTTGGAGCGTGGCCAAACAAGATGCCACAAGAAGCGTGGAAGAGGCAGCTGTCAATGCGTGCAACATGGAGAGCCTCAGCCGGAACCCACCAATAGGATGCAATAGGTGTATGATGTCATTCTGAACGCAGCATAGCACTATCTAACCCAGTTTTAGACCTGTGACGTAATTGGCTGGAACCCAAGGACTCCAAGCAAGCATCGCAATAGACTTTCCCAAGGCCCTCTAGCTGCCTCTAGCTGTTGTCCTCATGGTGGGATCCAGCTGGTCTTCACGGTTCCACAAGAGCATGGCCCTTAGCGTTCAAGGCCTCAACATACGTGTCCTCTCAGACTCGTGGGGCAAAGCAGAGCACCATGCAGAACTCGGGCCGGTGGGGGTTCGGCTCACCGAGGGTGCTTTGATGTCAGACTTCATGAATGGTAAAACCATGGTAAACCCTTGCAACACCTTTCGATGAGGACACGACACAGTTTTTTGGATGAGCTGAATGACAACGTGAGACGTGCCCATCTGCCCAGTCTACGGATTCGCCAGCGAAAGGATGTGCTATGGAGGTGCCATTTGGGGTGAGAGACGGACCGGTCCTAGCATTTGGGGTGACCAGGACGGATTTTTTGGTGTGTGTGTGTGTGTCACCCCCTGTGCCTAAGGGTTCCACCTCGCAGTTTGGTTTTTGACGCTCACTTTCAGCAGGGGGGCAATGCACGACTGACAGACATTGCCCAACGAAGACGCTGTCAGATCGTGGCGAAGCAATGCGGGACGCCGCATTGTGTACCTGCTCAATGAACTTTTGCACACGCTGTCCACTCCTTTGGTTTGATTCATGGTGTTTCATGTGTTTCTTCCCCAAAACAGGTTTCCCACCACAGTTTTCAGCCGCTCGTGAATTGCAGCCAGCCGCGCGAGAGTTCGACCACTGAGTACAATAATTGTTCAACATTTCAACTGACCTGACTTGCTCGCCTTGCTGTTCCCTCACCTTCCTTCTCGACTTGGGAACTGAGCCAACTGAAAACCAATGTCAGAGTGTGAACCGCTCAGCCGTCCCACTTGGGTGCTGGGTGTGATCCTCCGCAAGGAGGCGCCGTTCTCATTCCGGAATTCGTGCAACTGATTCTTCTTTTCCACCGTTTTGGATTATCTTAACGGACTCCTTTTCACTACTGGATCAACTGCTTCAACAGCCGCCGGGCTTGTACGGACAAAACCATTTGAGTTCAACAGCCGCCGGGCTTGTACGGAGAATGAACCCCGACGTGGTCTCTACCCCAAACACCCCAACCCCTCCCACCCACTAATTAGGGTAACAGAGGGAAATGGTACTCGGCACACTTGTGTGTCGGTGCTTTTCCCTCTGTTGTCCCTTTTCTAGTCTTCTCTACCCGGGCGGTCTAAGACTAAAGTCCCGCTCCCTAACTATTGCACTTAATTCACTTCCGCTAAGTAATCAGTGATTCTAGAGTGCTAAGTATTCATATACACACACACACACACGGACACACACATGTACATACACCTCCCTGCCCCCCCACTTTCCTTCTTGCGCTTTTGGTCGTTTCTTGGGCTTTCTCTCAGGCTTTTTAGGTTGCTCTTGAGGTTCGTTTCCCTACCCCAGTCAAGGGCTAAGTATTCACTTTTTTCTACTCCTACCTTTCTCTCTTGCCCTCTTAGCGCTGCTCTTTCTGTGTTTCTTTCTTTTGTTTCTAAGGCTTTTTAGGTACCTATTCAGGTCCTTCGCACGAGCGCCGCAAAGCGGCACCGTGTGTGTGTGCCCCCTGTGCCTAAGGGTTCCACCTCGCAGTTTGGTTTTTGACGCTCACTTTCAGCAGGGGGGCAATGCACGACTGACAGACAGTGCCCAACGAAGACGCTGTCAGATCGTGGTGAAGCAATGCGGGACGCCGCGTTGTGCACTTGCTCAATGAACTTTTGCACACGCTGTCCACTCCTTTGGTTTGATTCATGGTGTTTCATGTGTTTCTTCCCCAAAACAGGTTTCCCACCACAGTTTTCAGCCGCTCGTGAATTGCAGCCAGCCGCGCGAGAGTGCGACCACTGAGTACAACAATTGTTCAAGCAACATTTCAAGTGACCTGACTTGCTCGCCTTGCTGTTCCCTCACCTTCCTTCTCGACTTGGGAACTGAGCAAACTGAAAACCTATGTCAGAGTGTGTGTGTGTGTGTCAAGTCCTGTTCCTAAGGACCTCTGACACAACTAACTTGCAGGGATCCCTCTCACCATTGGTGGGTGGCCAATGGTGAGAGCTGCAAATGTACCTGCAATTTTTTGATGTTGTGATTCTGAGTAGAGCTTACCGCTGTCTCATACGTGGTTTCTGCAGTTTTATATATACTGTAATTATATAATGCATTCGGTGAGTTCCAAATTGATTGAACTCTTGCAAGCATGGATCTAGTTCGTGTGTATGTGGACCCTTGCCTCGCCCACTGATGCTTCAGGATGACGCCACATGTGGCAACTGTTCGCGTTCCGTTCGTTGCCTACCCCAATCGACATGAACGGTGTAGCTTTTATTGAAAGTTCTCACTCTTTTGACGTCGGCATCTCAGTGAGAGAATTGCCTTCCATTGGGAGGTGGAGGTGTGTGTGTGTGTGTGCACCTTGGACTCATAGAATGCGTTTTGGTATTTTGGAAGACTTGATGACATGTGTTGGAACTGGGGGGGGCCATCCATGTACTGTGCGCGATGATTCGTCGTCGTTGTCGCAGGCTCGTTTTTTGACCTTGAACTTAGACTTTGGTGGTTTAGAGACTTGATGGCCGGACCGCGCCACATGCCCACCACCTAGTTTCTTAGGTTTTCTACTTAGGCTGGCGTGTGGCAAACCGCAGTCAGTTCGCACGCTTCATTCCCGAGTGCGTTTTTGCTTGTTTTTGGTGGATTGGGGTGGGCACCCCAACTATGTCTAGGAACCCTCACCTGTTTCCGCTCTTCTCTGGGCAGGCGCTGAACACCCAAAGCCTTGATGCGCTGGAGCGCGCCTCGCTGGGCTCCCGGAACTGGCTTCCTATGGCGTTGAGGACCCGGTTCAGATGGCCTGATTCTGGAAGTAGAATACGTTAACTCGCACCTTGAGACGATGGCTTTGCTTATGTGGTGGACACCACGTGGCTCCTCAAACTGAGCTTCCCAATCAAATCCTGCTCTCAGATCGGACGCCACCGGAAGATCTTGAACTTGTTTCTGACGGGTGCCTCAAGGTCGAACAGTGCGCGGGATGACCAGCATGAGAAGGTGAGGGATATTGCGGGTGGGTGTTTGAAGAGCGATTGGTGTCGATGGAGATTTTGCAATCCTCTCATTGGCAATTTGGTACTTGTGTGGAACCTCCCCCGGCTCCCTGCACAGGAGGCTGACGCTGCTGCAGGGAGTAGCCGCACCTGCGATGGGGATGAGCCCAGGCAAAGAGGGTCGTTGTCGTTGATGCTAATCAATCTTGTTGCTTTGTTTGAGCCAGGTTGTGGTCTGAACACGAGATACAAGTGGATCTGGATGCCTTATACTTATGATGCCTCCACTCGGCTCCAACTATGCATTCCGTAAGACTTCATGACCAAAGAAGCTCTGGACCATACTGAATAAACCACCCCTTCCCTTGTCCACCCTGCTAAAATGCACAGATTCGGGCTTCCTAAAGTTCACAGATTGAACTGAACTGCACTATTGCTCGTACATACTTGTAGCATCAACTATCATTGCTTGTGTCTAGATTCTAGATTAACTACATGGTGAAACCATTTTAACCCAGTTGCTCGACATCGCCTCCTGGGCGCCATGCGGCGTGGCTTTCGCTTCTCAGCCTTCCGCCTTGGGCGCCGCGTCGCCCCGCGCGGCGCCTGGGCGCCGCTGGGCCTGGCTTCGGCGGTCGCCGGGGCCACGTGGGAGAGGCGTTGCCGCTGCGACGATGAGAAGTGGTGGACGGACCCGGCGCAGTGCTCCGATGCCTGTGCCTTGTGGCAGCGCACGTGGAATGGCGACTGGGATGGCCGGGGACCACCGCCAGGGGAGAAGATGAAAGCGACAGGGAAGATCCGACACCTGATGCTTGGAGACATAAGGAAGCAGCTTGTGCTGCTTTCACCTGTTTTCTCTCCTGGTACTGGTATTGTGTGGCGAGATGTTTGATCCAACCTCTTTTACAATTGTTTGACCATTTCACCAGCCATCATCGGTCACAACCAGGATTCTCGTCCGACACGGGCAATATGACCTGGAGGGCGAGGAGCGCGGTTTAACGGACCTGGGTCGGAGGCAGTCGGAGAAGCTGGCGCAGCGCTTGAGCGCTGAGCGGCAGCTGACAAAGAAGGACCGCTATGGCCACTCTGCTCATAAACTGAGGTTTGGAAGGAAGACAAAGGTGACTAAGGTGACCATTGTTTTCCATTACTTACAGCCAACATCCTGATATTTCCAGGACGGAGTATGAAGGATGTTCACTTGACCTACCTTATTCGTCTCCACATCCATAGGTCATCCTAGTCCCCCCATAAGATCCCATAAGGCCGATTATTCGGCGTGTTTGCTTTCTGCCAATGTGTCGACCAAGAGCACGATGGTGTCAATGAGGGACAACGTTGCAAAGTCATGGGATTTGCGGATGCACACTATCGGCACAGGTGAGGTTCGCATTCAATATGCTGGCATTTGGGTCAGCAATGTGACCCGAGCTATCCAAACGGCACAGACGCTGATTTGCAAGAAGACCATGACACATGATGACGAATGGCAATTGGCTTTCTCACTTTTGCCTGTGGCTGAAGATCTCTGGCGGTGGTTGGTGATGTGGGGCAATTGAAGTGTCATACTGAGGTCTTCAAGCTTGTGACCACATCCCCACGCTTTGCAGGGATGTATATAGATGTCGCAGGTTGCAGGCAGACAGCCAGTCTAATTCCAGTGGTAGTGACTCGTGCTGTTAGTCGCAACGAATCTCACCAGACATTTTCCTTGTCTTCAGATCTTTCTTGGAATTTCTTCCTCTGAAGAATCACTGTGGTAAGTCTGAGCCTTTCAGCTTCGATGTGAGGATCCTGGCCGCACACCTGCCGGACGTGCCGTTGATGGAGCCGGATGTGCTGCTCAGCGAGGGCAAGCCCACGCAGCCGCATCCCAGCTCCTCAGCCTCTCGCTTGGCGGATTTGTGGGAGGAGTGGAAGATGAAGGGATGGGGCGGGAGTTGGGGGCGGAAAGTCGGCTGCCTTGCATCCAAAAGACCGAACCATGCAGCACAATTCAATGAGATTTTTGGTTCCAACTAGTAACTGGATAACTGGGGCAGTTGATCCAGCCAGGACTTAGATAATCTTATATACTGTAAGCACCAACCCCCGGACAGTTCCGCCTTTGTCCTTCTCCCGCATTTGCTGATGCATAGAAGGCAATTTTGCGATGCAATTTATGGTCAATCTTGTATGATAAATGACGAGTGATGCGCCAGCCCAACCTCGGCCCAGACTCTTGTTTTCGTTGGTGCTTTAGGTGGATTTGATTCATTCAGGATCCAACTTGAGGATTGCTGGGATTCGCCGACACATCGATCGCCCTTGACCTGAGCCTGGTTGGCCACACGAAGTGACAGCATACAAGGTTTGTCTCCCTCTAGCCAACCTGGCAGAATGGGAAAAACCAAGAATGACCGAGTGGTTGAAGGGCCTTCTGAGTTTCAGACCAACAACTTAGTGGTTGAGATGGTTGAGATATATAGAACTCTATTTTCGATCAACCCAGTTCAATCCCAGGTCCAAGAACCCGTGCCGCATGGGTCGTCCAGCGGAATTTGCGAAGCCTTGGGCGCAGGATTCTGCACGGATGGAAGCGGGCTTTCGCAAGTATGTACATCGTGAGGTTGATCACAAGCGACTGGCCGAGAAGGAAAAGAAAAAGAAAAAAGAGCAAGAGAGCAAGTTAGGTGATGGACTCCTGGATGCAAAAAGGAGCACGACATGAGCACAAAAAGGAGCGAGGAGTGGGGGGGTCGACCATGCAAAGGTCGCTGTAGCAGGGTGGCGGATAGCTCTTGTGAGCATTTCTAGCATGTTGATGGTTGATTGTGCCTCTTGGATCCAAAGACCTTGAAGGGGCAGTGGTTTCCAGCAGGTGAGTTGGGGCAAAAATGTCAGAGGATTGTTTTGGGCGATTCATTAGGGAGCATGATTAATGATTAGTGTGTCCCTATGTGTCGCGATGTGCCAGTAACATCCTGCCCCTTTTGGTGCCATTTCTTTTTCTGGAATCTTTTCCCAGTTTTTGGCCACCAAACATGGTGCCTGGCCGAGGATATGTGCCGGAGGCCACCCCTGAGGCACATCGGGAGGAGAAGGAGACGCCCAAGGAAGTGAAGGAACCGAAGGAACCGGAGCACGTCTATGAGATCTACGTGCCTTGGACCCTTTTGTTCGCAAAACCGCGGAAGCTCAACAGGCTGGGGCGGTGTCGTAAAGAACAATTGAATACATTTGAAGAGAATTGCATCGAATGGCTTTGATTGAGGGAGGAGCAAAGTTTGAAGAATATTGAAGATCTTCTAGAGTCATGGTGAAGAACTTTGTACACATCAATATCGCCTCCGCAAAAAATACTTTTTTGGCTCGTATGAGCTGCTAAGCCGAGGTTTGCCACATGAACTTGATCAGGTACTTCGCGGCTCGGATTGAGTGAGTGGCCACAATGTGACCACAGAAACCCACGTGGTGGGAATGTTGACGAAGACCTGTTGGGGCACAGGAGTGAAGAAGAAGAAGAAGAAGAGGAAGAGGAAGAGGAAGAAGATCAATCTTCAAGGTACTTGCAAGACCGACTGTGTTCTGAACTGAGGCCCAATTGCACCTTTGAATCATACTGACATAGAATCCCAAGAGTCAAGAGTTTCACATGTTCAAGACCTCCGCCTGAAATAGTTTGCTATTAGGTAGGAGGCCAACGCTATTAGGTTGGAGACCATCGCTCTCAAGTTGGAGCCCATTGCTTGCTATCAGATTCCTTATGCTCTTAGGTGGGAGGCCATCGCTAGTAGGTTGGCCCCACTGATTCATTGCTGCCATTGCCGTTCCGGTTCACTGGTCACTCCTCTCAGGTGATGCGCGCCTTGCAGCTGCCGCCCGAAGCGTGGCTGCGGCTGCGGGGCGACAACACCAACATCACGGAGCCGCTCAGATTGACATGGGGCAGGTCCTTTTGTTTGTTTTTGTCATGATTCATCAGATCTGTGTTGGGATAGTGTGGGCCAGCCAGCAAACCCCAAATCTTGAATGGTTCAAAGAGCTGGTCCCGCTCGCGCGAACGACGCAACGACGCATGGACCTCGAGAGCTCCAGGGCTCCAGCGAACGACATGCCCCGTGACTGGACAGAAAACAGACGAGGGATTCGAGACGTCTCACCATAGGCGAACGCCCATGGATGTCCTGTAGGTTAAGGCAGCAAGACAGCATGTTAACAAGAAGGCTCACCGCAGGCGGTGCTTGGAGTCGGTGAACGTTTGGAAGGTCACCATGGTCACCCCTCCACACCTGCCACACCGGTCCATTGTTCAGTTCACGGTTCAGTTCACGGTTGTCGTAGTTGTGTTGCATGAGATGATGGATGATTGATCCGCCAAGATATTTAGTATAGTCAATGTGTGTAGAACAAGATCCTTTTCCAAGAACCCCACACCGGAACCTCCAACCAAAACAGGACATCCCTATTCAGGGGGAGGATAGCTCACTAGAAAATTGTATAAAATTGTTGGATGCTTCTTGGGATGTATTTGGAGTGGGAAACCTAGACCCAGACCTAGGCCCAGCGAGGAGCCAGGTCAGTTGTAAGCTTCGCTGACCCAGCCACGGAGTGTAGAACATGAAGGGTGGTTCAACGTGAAGTTGCACCTCCCCATTTTCTAGTGGCCTTGGCCCCCAGAGATTTACTGTACAAAAGAATTCCGACACTGGAGCCCTCCGCATGAATGATACGTCACCTGGTGCATTGCATGGAATCATTGAGCTGTACCAGCTATGATCCGACCCTTGCTCCAACTTTGCAACGAACCAAAGAGCGCACCACTTGCTACGAGGATTGTTGTTCACGCCGACGGGCTTCTTGTCTGAATTGGTTGATCGACGTTCCATGTGGGCACACGCTGCGGCAGACGGCCAAGGCGAGTGAGCTTGCACCGCTTTGGTGACATCGGCCACTTGCCGCTGGACATGGTGACATTCCATTAGAGACCTGGACCAATGACCTGGAGCATCAGGAGGGAAGGAGGATTGCTTCGATTCGCGTTTCACTGCGCCTTGCGGCAACTATGAGAAAAAGGAGTTTTTGGCACTTTGCGTCATCCTTGCAGTGGCTTTGGTCCGAACCCTGATTATTGACCCCGTAAGATCCCTCAAGATCAATGACAATAGTGAAATGTGTACTTTCATTTTTTTTCAGGTGATTGGACTACAGACAGAGCGTCTCACCATCCAAGGGCTTGGTTGACAAACCCGCAGTCTGGCTTTGCTCAACTGCCTCGCACCCATTCACCAGCACAATTTTCGTTTTCGCCTCGTGTCAAGGGTCACGCGCTGGCAGGCCGCAGTCGAAGGATCTATCCTTGCCTCTGGAGGTGGGTGTGTGGCTGTTAGGAATCATTTGGGTGCGAACCATCCTCCAAGCTCCTCTTTTCTTGGCTCTTGGGCTCTGTGTTCCTGGGAGGGTGTCGGTTTTTTGGCCTTTGAGGACTTCCTTTTCTGTTGACTTAATCGTGTTTTCAGGCACGGGGCAAGAGTCATATTGGTTGCGCGCAACGCGCCAATTTGGAGCTTGCGCTTGCAGCACCTTGGCCCACCTTCTCTTTTTTGTTGCTAGGCAGCTCAATGCTTGTGAACGATGCATTTGGTACTGGAGGCATATTTAGAGGCTCATGTGTGTGTGTGTGTGTCCCACCCTGGACAAAGGGTTTTCCACCACCTCTTTTCCACCACCTGTTCTCCACAAGCAGGGGGCCAGCGGCCGACAAGCAAACGCTGGCTAACAAAGCTATGCTTGCTCGGTGGATGCGGTCAGAGACGTCTGACCGTGTACCTGCTAAGAAACTGTTGCCCACGCTGTCCACTCCTTTGGTTTGTTTCATGGTGTTTCATGTCTTCCATCCCCAAAACAGGTTTCCCAACGCAGACTTGCAGCCGACTTGCCGTTTTGCCGCCGTGCGCTTTCCGCAGTCACGTAAGAAAAACCTTTGTTGAAACATCTACAATTGCGCTGACTTTCCACCTTACCGTTGAACCATTCCTTTCTTCCAGAGATTGCATTAACTGAAAATCAAAGTTCGAAGTGTGTCCTGCTCAGCCGTCCCACTCGGGTGCTGAGTGTGATCCCCTTCACAGGGGCGCCGTTCTTGCATGGGAAAGCAACCACCCCAACGCACCACCGATCACTGGAACTTCACAGGAAGGCACCGACCCCCTCATTGAATCAACTGCCACACCGGCCGCCGGGCCAAAAAACGGTTCTTGAAGAATACATCGGAATTCAGCTTTCAGTTTTTCAGATCTGTCTTTTCACTCCTCCAAATCATGTTCATGTTTCATGTTTTTGCCATTTTGATGCCGCGATTATTTTATCGGCAGAACTCAAGTTTGGGCATGAGAGCTCTTCAGCTTAATTCGAGATGCATGAACACACACCTACCAACAAGCTCACATTTAGCACTACCTTACAACATACTCACCACTGCCACCAGAGATGACACCTTCAACAACAACAAGACAATACCACTCGGCTTTTCTTCGCTGCCTTTTGCTGCCGCGCCGCGCCGAGCCATAGCTACGACCACGACATGCATTTTCCGTGGCCCTATGCTCACACCACGCCACCACCACTACCTACCACACAACCTCAACCCACATGGCCGGTGCCACAGCCATCAACAGCACCTAATTATCCCTCCACACAACCACCGGCATACCCTCACCTCCAACCACAACCATTTCAACCACAACCGGTTTTATCCACCCCTACTGCCACCGCAATGACCTACGGCACACCATCCACTTGGACTTTTGTCCCCCCATGTCACGTGCCACCGCAACCCCCACCTTCAGCTCCAGTGTTTCCGACAGCAGCACCTTCCCCGTCCTACCTGCTGCCACCACATCATCCCACACCACCAGCTGAACTTCTTCCCCCCACTACACTGACACATCCCCCTTCAACACAGCAACAGGCTGCGATTGCCAATTATCCATCCACAGAGACCCAATGTGCCACCCCACAGGGCGTTTGGCAACCCTATTCAGCCTTTCCCCCCGTCACACAACCTCCACCCCAACCGGGGCCCCCGCCACCGCCTCCACAAATTACCAGTGCCTCAATGCCAACCCAACCTCCATTACAACAGCAGCTACCATCGGATCCAACACCACAGATCCAACACATCCCCGCGACTGCCCAGGGCAATCCACTACCAGTCCAAAACACACCGGCCACCGTATCCCAACATTCAGCATCCCCCTCGCTGGTCTCTGCCACACCAGCACCGGGACCTTCACTACCAGCATCAAACAAACCTGGCACCACTGCCTCACCAGCACCACAACCACCTTCCCCACAACCACCACACAGCAGTCGCCGCCACCATCACAAGAGCCGACGCAAGTCCGACCATCACCACAGAGGACGCCACCGCCACCGCCGCCGACATCGCCATCACCACCATTCCAAACACCGCACCAAAACCAGGCGACGGCGTTCGCCTTCCACACCCACTTACACATCTAGCCTCACACCATCCCGCAGTCGATCCCCACCACAACCCATTGATCTACGTCCAAACACCGAACACGCGAACCCTGATCCCTCTCAATATCCCACCACAGCCGTCATCCGTCGCCCACTTAACCGTTGGCGACCTCCACCCAACTTTCACACCCACGGACCAAATCCTGGAATGGCTCGAATTCCACGCCAATCAACTCGACAATCCCAACAGACCACAACACCAGTACATTGCCAATATCCTCACCGACTGCAACATCTCCTACAAGGAGATCAACGATTTCCGCCAATACACCCATGCCAAGTGGAACGACACAACTCACCAATACGACCAATTCCAGTACTATGCCATTTCACTTCCCTTCCTCAACACCAAAGCCACTACACCCGAGCCACCTGCTGTTTCCCGCGCCACGTCAACCCACCGAGAAGTTGCCCACATCAACGCTGGCCACACAGGCCCCGTCGGCAACATTTCCAACATTCTACGCCAAGGCCGTTTCCTACCCAGCACACTCCACTTTGCCAACTACCCTGGATTTTTTGCCCAGGCGTTCGCATCACCCACAACCAACCCCATGACCACAACGAATTTGCCCGCATCATCCACAACACCTGGCAACTCCACAAGAACTCCCATTCCCTTATCATCACACTCCTTGCTTGGGGTGCCGCCACAAAGTATACCTCTGGAGGTGAGGAACACGCCATGAACCTCCTTAACGACCACCATGGTGCGGTCTTCCATCAGAAGGGCCGCTGTTGGGTGATCCACCCGGACCACGCCATTGTCAAAGGACTGGCCTGGTCCACCAACTCCACCCCACCGGACCCATAACACCACTGCCACACATCCACACTTCACTACCACCTCCACATCCACTTTCGGTCTCACACCACCACCCAACCTTTGCTGTAGCAGCAAAAACGAGCCTCTTGCAGCAGCCACGGGCAGTTTTGAACCCTTCATTTTTCTAGCTTCGCATTTTTTGCTGAGAATCTTTTGAATTGCATCGGCTGTTTTGCAGGAGTCTTTCACATGTTGATTTCTGGGTCGCGGAGAGTGACTCTTTAAGCCATGTACTCGATTGTCCAAGTTGCATTGCGTACTCACCCTTTTGCCTGTGGGAATTTGATGCTCGCTTAATTCATATGCACGGCCTCGGAATGATGTGCTTCCTCAGATTCGCCGCTTTCCGGCTGCTTTGGTGCGCTGCCGCAGCAACCTGTGACGATTCTTGACTACTGCACACCCCTACATCTCAGCCCCATGAGCAGCACGCTGACACCTCTACAAAACGACACCACAACTCTCCTACACAAAACCGCAGTGGCACTTTCCCAGGTGCACAACCTGCTTCGACAAGCCACAGATATTGTCGCACACCTCCACACGGTGTTCCTCCACCACAGCCACCAAGCAGACCCCACTTTCCGCCAACACTTTCAGCCACTTCCAACCCCGCCCAATCACCCCATACGTTTACCACCCACCACCTCCTCCTGTGATTCAGCACCATCAAGACCACCTATCCGTTCACCAGCGCCACCCTTACAGGATTCCGACGACACTCCAACAACACCCCCTGTTCCACAACCCACCACAACACGCAAGCGGAAGCAACCACCCCCACCACCACTGAACCAACACGCCGATTGGGACGCTTGGGACGGCGACGCTGATTGTCGCCTTGTCGAACTCAAAGAAAACCCAAAACTTCGTCCAAACTGGACTACTGTGGCCCGCCGCGTGGGTTTCTCCGTTGCACAATGCCAAGCCCGATGGCAAGAACTCAAAGACATGCAACGACAGCAAGACCAGCAACTACCAACACCTACATCACCAGCGGTTTCCCCAGCACCACATTCACAACCAGACTTCTCCCCTTCCCCCACCACAACACCACCGACTTTACAATACCCAACGACTCCAGCTGCTGCGCCGCTGCCGCCGGCTGCTGAGCGACCGCGTAGTGAGGACAGTCATCCGGAGAAATCTCCACTCTCGCCAGTGGGCAGCTATTTCATTTGATCCGTTTCACCCACTTTCCGTACGGCGTGCCGCACGACAAATCCGCTGACATGCACTGAATTCTATTCACACCCAAGTTATGTTCACCCAGTTGCCCACCTTTGATTTTACAGTTTTCAGGCTCACCTCAGCTCCGCAGCCTTTTGTACGCCATCACAATCCATCACTGGTCATGGCTAATCCTCGCGCTCGCCCCTATGGCAACACCGCCAACACAGAACACTACTTGCCACAGCGCCCTCCGAGCTGGCTCCAACCTTCAATTTGCACTCAGCCTGACTTTCAATCTCTCAACAGCTCCTTTGACCTTCTCGTTATGGTCAACCAACACCTCCGACACCACCCACTCCACACTGAACCTATGCCAAGCCAGACGTATTTTCAGGACCAGAGAGCATACAACCTCCTTTACCGAATGCGCGGTGACCTGAT